AGATGATTTGATTTATATACTGTTTTGGGAATATACTGTACTTACTGTGGTGTTATGATGTAGATTATGTGTTTTCTTACTGCTCAGTCTTTATTTACTTTTATTACTTACTGAGTTGGCGTACTCACATTACTCCCTGCACCTTGTGTGCAGATCCAGGAGTTGCGGGTCATGATAGCGAGCGCTGATCTTTGATCCAGCGGGTCATTCGGAGTCGTCAAGGTAGCTACATGGCGTTCGCAACCTTACTCTTCTCCCTCTTATCTTCCTTAGATTATATTGGCGTTTTCCAGACTGTGATAGTCTTCGTTGTATTCAGACGGTCCTTAATAGATGATCACGGCCAACCCTGCACTACTATTAAGTAGTGAGAGAGGTCAAAGCAGCTTTTACCTGATTTAGGGTCGGGATCGAATTCCACAGAGAGCTAGATATTGGAGTCGGGTATCTATCTAATTTAGAGTTGTGTGTTTGCTCCAAATTGCACTTCTAAACATTTTTGGGTTTTTGTTTAAGTTCTAATTTTATCAACTACGAAGCTAATTTAATCTAGAATAAGTTATGAATAGGATATTACAGGTTTTTCAAATGGTTAAAAGGCACTAGGGTAGTGACTTTCGCCTAGGTGGTCAATTGACGGATTCTTGAATCCAAAGCTAGATTGACACATTTGGGGAGTATGATATACCCATTGCTCGATTCTACCCACTCTATACCTCTCGGTAGTTCGAGTGATTTTGCCCAAATTGACTTTCTCAAGACCAATTGGGTATACAAATTTGCACAAGCAATTGAGGATCAAGTCGGGTATTACGATCTCTCTGTTTAACCCTTTAATTGGGGCTATCAATTCTCTTGAGTACGCCCCAATTCCTTGTTGGACTAATTCTAGAGACTTAGGCTCTCCTTCTCGAGAAGAGCAAAAGTCAACTAAACACAAACTAGTGTTTGCAATCACTAATTTTGCAATTAAACATGGAACTAGCCCAAATATCAAACACCCATAGTCAATCAAGCTCTAAAATACAAGACCCATCAATTACCCACACTAGGGTTGAGCCACAACCCTAGCTGATGGGTCTAGCTACTCATAATTAGAGAAAGAAACAAAGAAATAGATGAAGAAAAATTCATATTAATTAATTGCTAAGATAAACTAGAAGACTCAATGTTGAAATGAAGATAGAATTGCCCAAAATAGCTAAAGAAACGGAAGTCACGAGCGCAGCTACCAGCTAAATCTATCTGCTTGACCTAAAAATGGAAAATAAGCTATTTATACTAATCTGACAATTCTGGATAAAAATACCCCTGCGGGGTTAGTGCGGACCGCACAAAATGGTGTGCGGCCGCACTAGGGCTCTGAACTTGAAGATCTAACTCTCTGAACTCGGGCACTGCGGACCGCAGAGAATGGACTGCGGCCGCGGAGACTTCTAGTGCGGTCTGCATAAAATGGAGCGTGGACCGCATTGGCTTGACACTTGGAATTTGTAGCTCTCTGATTCTTCTCACTGCGGACCGCACGAAATCGAGTGCGGCCACATTGATCTCAGTGCGGACCGCACAAAATCCTAGTGCGGCTGCATTGCCTTTGTGCCTGAATGTCATGCTCTCTGAACCTCACAGTGCGGACCGCACAGAATGTAGTGCGGCCGCACCGGCCTTGTTTTGCCTGAGCTTTGTCTTGTCTTGGTACTTGTGCAAGTTTCACTCCTTTTTGAGCCGATCTTTGACATCTTGTCACTTTGTTGATCAAACCCGCAATCAAGCACAACTTGTGAGCCTTTGGGACTATTTTGTACACATTTCTAATCAAAACTTAAGCGATAAGGAGTATAAAATGTATCAAAATACCTGGTTATCAACTCCCCCAAACTTAAGCTTTTGCTTGTCCTCTAGCAAACAAAATAAGACCCACCCCTTAAGAGAACATCCAAGAAAATTTCAGCTGTCCTAAAGTAACCTCATCCAGCATCAATTGGGACTAACAATTGCCCTCAATACAAATGAATCATTAACACTTTTACTCTTTGAAACTCCATGGATTAAGAGGTCGTTTGGTAGCTGGTTAGAAGAAAGGTTATTCATGTATAAGGGGTAACATAACTTATACCATGTTTGGTAGGCAATCGTTATTTTGCATAATATTCTGCATAACTAATACCATGTTTGGTTGATATTTTTCAATTATGCATAAATAATACATGTATAAGTTATGAGTCAATCTGTGTATTATTTTATGCAGGGTAGAAGATGGAATAACTAATACATGCATTAGTAATACATGGATAAAATACTGAAATGACAAATTTACCCCTATAACTTTACACATAAAGCTTCCTTATTTCTCTGCCAACCCGTCAACAGGTTTCACTTGCTTTCACTTGCCAACTATATACCTTGTCTTCTCTCATTTTTAAAGAACAAACTAGCAAAAGCAAACTGGAGAAGCCACTAGAAAATGGAAATACCAAAACTAAGAAGTGAAAATCAAATATGTCTAAACTTCACATAGTTCAGTAGTATGACGAAGAAGTGAAAGTAACACCCAAAGTTCCTAACTAAATTGTTTCCTACATAAATGGAAAGAGAGAAAAAACAATGCAAAAGAAGGCCAGGGGTATAGTTGTAAACAAGCATTTTACTTTAAAATTTATATAATGTATATCAATTTCTAATACAACAAACCAAACATTCAAAAAAATAATCTCTGCATAACTAATACCTGCATAACTAATCCCTGCATTACTTATCCCTGCATAACTAATCCCTGCATAACTAATACATGTATAACTAATACCTGCATAACTCTAACCGGCAACCAAACGACCCCTTAGAGGTCGTTTGGTAGCTGGTTAGAAGAAAGGTTATTCATGTATAAGGGGTAACATAACTTATACCATGTTTGGTAGGCAATAGTTATTTTGTATAAAATTCTGCATAACTAATACCATGTTTGGTTGACATTTTTCAATTATGCATAAATAATATATGTATAAGTTATGAGTCAATCTGTGTATTATTTTATGCGGGGTAGAAGATGGAATAACTAATACATGTATTAGTAATACATGGATAAAATACTGAAATGACAAATTTACCCCTATCACTTTACACATAAGGCTTCCTTATTTCTCTGCCAACCCGTCAACAGGTTTCACTTGCTTTCACTTGCCAACTATATACCTTGTCTTCTCTCATTTTTAAAGAACAAACTAGCAAAAGCAAACTGGAGAAGCCACTAGAAAATGGAAATACCAAAACTAAGAAGTGAAAATCAAATATGTCTAAACTTCACATAGTTCAGTAGTATGACGAAGAAGTGAAAGTAACACCCAAAGTTCCTAACTAAATTGTTTCCTACATAAATGGAAAGAGAGAAAAAACAATGCAAAAGAAGGCCAGGGGTATAGTTGTAAACAAGCATTTTACTTTAAAATTTATATAATGTATATCAATTTCTAATACAACAAACCAAACATTCAAAAAAATAATCTCTGCATAACTAATACCTGCATAACTAATCCCTGCATTACTTATCCCTGCATAACTAATCCCTGCATAACTAATACATGTATAACTAATACCTGCATAACTCTAACCGGCAACCAAACGACCCCTAAGTGTATTATAAAGGTACTTTATAGGCCAAAAGAAAATATTTGTACCTTAAAACATATATGTTTAGCTCTCTTAGCTTTTTGGTGTAAAAATGAAAATGTACAAGTAGATAGGATGGTTAATTTCCTCAGTTCTTTTCACATGTAGATAGTGCACCAAGATGCATTTTGTTGGGGTTATACTACTTATTCATTGCACTCTCTGGGTGCTATTCTTTAATAAAATTATCATTACAAAAAAAAAAAGGAAGAAAAAGAAGAAGCACCAAGAAGGTACTGTTCATAAGTTTACAGAGAATTCTAAGGTGAATCCCTTCCTATTCTTAAAGGGATTCTATAAGATCTATCATTTGCTTCAGCTATGTTTACAAAGTTCTGTTTACACAAAAAGTGCTTCTGAATAAATTTTTCCCTTTGTTTTCAAAGCATCTGTCATTTCTCTCTCCAAATAGTTCACCTTATACATGCAAGAATAGTATACCACCAGTCCTTCTGCTTCTCCTTCCTTTAATGTTCCATCTCTTCAAAATTTCACAGTATCTCTAGGCATATTCCATTTAAGCCCCAGCATATTAAGGAACAGCTGCGACAATTGATCGGTAACATGACAATGCAAGATGGATGATTGACATTATTCTCAGATTCTTTTCCACAAATGTAAGGGGTATTTGTTTTCCATATTCTTCCCCAAGGCCACAATAGCACCAGTACTAAAGCGTAAACTGCTCATTTTTCCTTCCCCGTGATATGGCATGATGAGCCCAAGTTACGGCAGCTCCGGATGGGGTAAAACAGTAAGTCTGAATAGATCAGGGAATACATCTTTTAAGGGAGCATACCCAACCCAGTTATCATCCCAAAAAGCAATCCTCTTCCATCACCCACTACAAATCCAATATTACCGACAAAGTTTTGCCAAAAATCTCTAATACTCCATAAACCCACCCGGATATGCTGTAGTCATTACTTTCTTAGTCCAAAAACCTTGAGACCCATACTTTACACTGATTACTTCCTTCCATAGTGCATGTTCTTCTGAAGTGAATCTCCACGACTGTTTCATCATTAAGGTGCAGTTATATTGTCTTAAATTTCTGATTCCTAAAACCCCTTCCTTCTTGTTAAGTGTGAATGAATTCCATTTCACAAAATGGGAAGTTCTATCATCTCTCGCCCTGCCAAAGAAAATCCCTTCTTAGTTTGTCCAACCTCTTCTCCACTTTGTTAAGGGAAATAAGGACATCACACATGTGGGAAGGGCATCAAGGACACTGTTTATCAGCACCAACCCCAACAACAACAACAACCAACCCAGTATAATCCCACAACACCAACCCCCCCCCCCCCCCAAAAAAAAAAAAGAAAAAATAAACTTTTCACCTTGCCAACCTCTTTTCACATCTTTCTAAAACTCCCTGCCAAAGTCAAGAGCTGTATTCCTAGATCCAGCTGCGGTAATCCAACACTCTTTTTAAACTTTATGTTTTTTGAGCAGACATAGCATACCGCGTCATATAGACAACTGGATGAACTTTGTTTTAAGCAATACAATTTTTAGGCCTTTTTAGTGTATAACTCGTGTATACGGGGATGTTATTCCTTTTAAGGTAATAATAATCCTTTTCCTATCAAACGAAAAAATGACTCGCTTACATAACAGTAGATGGTAGCAGAATGGTAATCTAAAAGCAGCAAAGAAAGAAAGAGTTTCATATAGTGTGAGGAAAAGGAAAGAAAAATGTACAAATCATCAAACATTGAGATCCTCAAAATATTCAGCAAAACTATGGCTGCAAACCAAGTCGTGTCAGTTAGCGCCCATCTTCTGGGAATGTAAAGATCAAATCAGCAGGGGAAAAAATCATGAAAAGACAGAGAGGCACATAATGACCGCACAATATACTAGAGTACTTCAAATGTGATAATTAGACAGCAAACGTAATATCCATATGCAAATCACTCATGTAAAATTTGTTGTGCAAGTTATAATTATGGTCCTGGCCTTGTTGTTGTTATTTACTTGTTCCTATTCTTCCTCTCGAGCCGAGGGTCTTTCCTCCAGCGTAGGTGTAAGGTCTGCGTACACATTACTCTCCCTAGACCCCACTTGTGGGATCCCACTGGGTTGTTGTAAGTTATAATTATGGTGGAGGCGACCTTCAATCACTGCAAAAGAGGTATACAACCAATTCAGATAACTAAGCAAAATGAGGATCATACCTCTGCAAAGCTTTGACGAAGAGCTAGAAGTTTTCCTTCTTCACTCCCAACGAATACCAACTTTTGCTTTATTGTTTCTGAAGCAGAATTTCTGCAGAAATGCAAAGCCACCAAGTAAGCATTCGCCAACACAGAGAGACAGAAATAGGAGAGAAAGGACGGAAGAGGCAGACGATTTTTCTTCTTCTTCTTCACCAAGAAACAACAGAAAAAAAGTGTACAAACAGCCCAAAATAATCGTTCACTTCACTGCAGTTTTAAATACATCTGCCAAAAGCCTATTAGTACTTACTTCCTACCAATAATGACTCGAACAGCATCATGCATTATTGTACGCGCTCTGTCTTCAACTATATCAGGTAACGTAGCACTGAACAACGACCGAAGAATTGAAGGATTTGTGCACGCATTCACCACAAAATCAACCTGCTCTAGCAAGCCAGGCTCAAAAAGCTTATCAGATTCATCTAAGACAAGAAATTCAACCCTGCACCCAAAAGGAGTTGGTGAAAAGGCATACTAATGCTGATTAAAAATGGACTATATTTAGCACCAAATTCTAAATAGCAACATTTTATATGTCTACACAGTAAAAGCCAAGGCATATACTCCTCTACATCTAATTCGGCATGCAAATATTCAAATCTCAGTGTGATTGTGCAAATATAGTAGTAAAACAAAGAGAAAATCTTTGAAATCCTTGCATATCTACACTAGACCCTGAGCTTCACCAATTGGTTTTTATTATGAATTACAGTTCAAATTATGCATTCATCCTGGGATCTACCATTTCATCGCCCTCTAGAATCTTATTTAACAAGACTCCAGACTGATCTAATATCAAGAAGATTAAACTTTGAAATGCCGACACTAGCACATGGGAGTTTGACCACTAGAAAATAAGGAACATACCTACTTTTTTATCAGAGAGGAACATACCTACTTAAATCAAGCTTTCCTTTGCGGATAGCAAACTGTAAGCGCAATGGTGTCGAGATGAGTATATCACATCGCAATTTAGAAAAGTCTCCACTTTTAGCGAGCTTTTTAGTCATCAACCTGATGTAGAACTTCTTCCCTTTAGCCAACTTTCTGCATTCTCTTGTAGTCTGAGCAGCTAACTCTTTTGTAGGGGAAATAATTACAGCTCGGACACCATCATTTGAAGTATCCTGATCAAGAAAGATGGCTGTCAGATGTCCAACAACTTCTCATAGAAAATGATATTGATCACAAAATATCATAACAATGCCAATATATATACCTTGAGTTTCACAAGTATTGGAAAGACAAAAGCAAATGTTTTTCCAGAACCGGTAGGTGCACAAGCAAAGCATTCCCGTCCCTTATGAAAGTCAAACATGATAAAAGACTGTTAAAGGAAAAACAAGAAAGATATATATAGTGGCGGAATCAAGGAAGATCATACAGATAAGAGGACTGGAATAGCCTGTCTTTGGATTGGTGTTGGTTCTTTAAATCCCAGTTCTGCCAGGTTGCGTAATAGATATAATCGACATTTATATCTGTATAACCATATACAAACAGAACATTGGTAAAAGAGAGGACAGAGGGAAAGTCAAGTGCAGGCAACAACAAATAGACTGATAAACACAGAGAAAGCAACTTGCTCATCACAACAAATTTTGTGTATAGGGTTAGTAGATAGTCGAGCATTCTTGTATTCTATTATTCTTAGACGGGAAAAGGTCCAAAATTGCCCCTGTACTATGGTATATTGTTTACTTCTGCCACCCGTTATACTTTTCGTCCAAATCTATCCCTACCGTTAATCAACTTTTAAAAATTGCCCCTAACCCTAACGGATCTCCACCGTGGCAACTGACCCCCTCAATTTTCTCCATATCAGCTGCCATGTCAGCTCCAAGTCACTTGACCCTAACTCTCTCTCATTTTTCAAGACCTCACAGCCCCCATCTTTTAAAAATAACAAAAAAGGGACCCAAAATCTCGAAGCTTTTTGTGCGTTAGGCAGCTCAGTGGAAGCTTCATTAGAATCATTACTTTACTCTCCCACTTACAGTAGTTATTATTTTATTCAATTTAATGATGCTCTGTTCTTATACCATATCTATATAGTATTAAATTTTGTGGAATTGTCTTTTTGTTCACACTCCAATATTGACCAAAGACTCAAAAATCAACTCATAACCCCCCCCCCCCCTTCATTTTTTCCGACCACCATGATCACCGGATTGTTCACCGGAATGCAGTTCATACTGCTACTAAACTTCATACCCATTTTGGTATATTCACAATCTCCGGCCACCAATAATGAACGTGATATTCTACTGAAGATAAAGCGTCAATGGAGAAACCCATTATCACTCAAGCTCATGGAACTCTACTTCCTCGC